CTCGCTCCTTGCGGCGCCCGCGCGGCACGGGCGCTCCTCGGGCCAAATCTCCTACTGCCGCGGACCTGGAGGCAGTGGCAGAACTCATGGGCGGCATTGATGAGTGACTCCCCCCCACGTCTGCTCAGTGCGAGGACACTGACATGTCTGATGAAGAGTGCGACATCAAGTTTACCGACTTTGAAAGCACGGGCGCGCACGGTGCGAATTCGACTGCATCGCCATGGCCGGCTGGCAGTTCCAACGTGGTCCTGCTCGTCTTCGCCATGGTAGCGCGATTCCAGTTGGCGTTGGTTCGGACTTGGCGACGACTGGTACTGATGATTGCAGGCTGTCGATTTCCAGCCTTTGGGGATATCGGCGCGGCCTTCCGCGATTTTGTCCCTACTGACTATATTCCTTTTCTGGTCCCTGACGAAAGTGGATTCATCGAGTCTCTTGCCTGGTCTCTACATCTCCGACCTGATGCGCCAGTTCCCCGCCCGCTGCGACGTGATCGCATTGGCGAGCGAGCGATTGACGGGCTTGCGTGCAGCAGTTCGGCCAACTCCGATGGGCACGACGCCATGACCGCGGCTGATCTCGAGGATTGTTTGGGGTTGCGTCTCGGCGTTCTGATGGCGGGTGATTCATCATGGAGCGCTCCTGCCCACGACCCTGACGGGGGCCATCCTCGGCACCCACTGACCATGTGGACAGCGTGCCGATGGGCGGCTTTGCCCTGCCCGACTTCTGGCGCTGGCCGTGTGCCTCCTGCTCAGGCGAAGGAGTTCGATGTGCTGATGATGTCTCTGCTTGCTGACCCCAACGCTGGCTCCTCGCTGGCGGATGCGATGGGCATGCGCGCGGAGCTCGTGGAGCTTGTCGGCATCGCAGATAACATCACGGTTTTGGCGGGCATCATAGACATGCACGCGGGGGTATTGGAGCAAACGGGCGCTGCAGAGCAAAAGCTTGAGCATGCTACGCCTGGCCCGTACAAGGGTGAACTCTTCGTAGCGGAGCTAGCGGGTTCATCCTTCTATTCCTTCTCGTTTCCCCCCCCTCGCAGTGCTCCCACTCCTCCACTTTCCCATATGTGGTGCTGTTTCCTCCTTCGCGTTATCGTCGTTTTTCTCCTGTCGATTTTCTTGCGTCCGCCTCCCTGCTCCCTTAATCATATCGTCCTCCTCCTCCTCCTCCTCCTCCTCCTCCCCCTCCCTCATTTCTCGTTTGTTATAACTATCGCTACATTTCAATGGTTAACATTTCTATTGTTATCACGACTAGTAGCAGTCAGCTTCTCATTCATATTAGTATATGCTTTTCTATCAGTACCCTTCTTAATAACATTATTAATGATTATATTGTTAGGTGCATCGTTCTATCAGTATTACTATTATTTCTCTTCCTCCTCCTCCTCCTCCTTCTCCTGTTCCTCCTTCCCCTTTTCCTCCTCCTCCTCCTCCTCCCCCCCTCCTTCTCTTCCTCCTCCTCTTTCTCCTCCTCCTCCTCCTCTTTCTCCTCCTCCTCCTCCTTCTCCTCCCCATCCTCCTCCTCCCCATCCTCCTCCTCCTCCTCCTCCTCTTCCTCCTTGTCCTCCTCCTCCTCTCCTCCTCCTCCTCCTCCTTCCCCACCTCCTCCTCCTCCTCCTCCTCCTCCTCCTCTCCTCCTCCTCCTCCTCCTCCTCCTCCTCCTCCTCTCGCGCTAGCTCAAATCGCGAGCCCGCGAGCCTGCGCCAGGAGGCCCTCGGGCCTCTGTTCCGGCCCCCCATCCGCCCCCCACACCCACACCCCGCTCTTCACTTCCTTCCTGCCTCGCCATGGCGCGCCCTCGGCGGCGAGATGGTCGCCCGCGCCGACGGCCGCCGACCGCCGCGCGCAGGCTGCGCGGGCTGAGGCTCGGACTGTGCAGTCGCTGCTGCGAGCCTTCGCGGCCTTGGAGCATCAGGACTGCCGCCCCACCCTGTTCGAAGATGCCTCGACGGCGGCCCTGCGGGGTCAAGGAGGTCAACGGCCACGGCGTCATGGACCTGCCCAAGATCCCATCGCTCGTGCTCCTGATGTGTTTTCGGCAGTTCAGCCGACTCGTGAAGTACAAGCTCATGAAGGTACTCCTCGTACCGAGGATGATTTCCCCGGTTCTGGCAAGGGCAAGAACAGGACACGTGCACCGACGTTTCCGCCCATGGGGTCCGCGCATCCTATGCGGCCGACGCTCTTGCTGATCGATGGGCTGCAGCCTCAGATCCTTGAGCAGCGGCCGCGGCCACGCCTGCTGCTCCCCATGGCGCTCTGGGTTAGGGCTTTTGCAAGGGTACCGGCTCGGATAAGACAAATGCTGAAACCGCGCGCCGTGGGCTCCTGACGGCGCCCCCTATTCCTGCCTAGCTTCTGCGTTTCCCGCGCCCGCGGCGTCTCGTCGTCGTCGTCGCCGTCGTCGTCGTCGTCGTCGTTTTTACCTTTGAGGACCTGGCTCCCCGCGCGCGGGCCTCGCCACCAGTCAGAGTCAGAATCAGAGTCCTCCTCCCCCTCTCCTCCGCCTCCTCCTCCTCCGCCTCCGCCTCCGTCTCCTCTTCTCTCTCTCTCTCTCTCTTTCTCTCCTCCTCCCTATTGTCCTTCCTCATCCCCCTCGTTTCTTATTTCTCTGGCCCCTCCTCCTCGTCCTTCCTCATCCCCCCCGTCATCCTTTTCTTCCCACCTCCTCCTTATCATTCCTTCTCCCTCCTCCTCCTCCTCCTCCTCCTCCTTCTCCTCAATATCCTCCTTCTCCTCGTTCTCCTCCCCTGTCTTCTCATCATTTATCCCTCCCACTCCTCCCCCTCCTCATCCTGGTGCTGCTGCTCATCATCATCGTCCCTGTTTCCTTCTTTCCTCCCAGTCCTCCTAGCGCGCGCCCGTTTCGACATTGACATCGGCGCCGCAGGTTTGCGTGTTTCCTCCTCCTCCTCCTCCCTCCTCTTTCCTCCTCCTCCTCCTCTCCTCCTCCTCCTCCCCCTCCTCCTCCTCCTCCTCCTCCTCCTCCTCCGCCTCCTCCTCCGCCTCCTCCTCCTCCTAGGTCGGGGTGCGTTGCTTTTCGGAGATGGCATTGTCATGTTGTCCACTCCACTCCATTCCCCCTTCCCCTCTGGTCACCCTCCTTCCTCCCTCGCCTTCAGCCTCCCCCAGAAGTTTTTTCCCAACCATCCTGTGGTGTTGGGTCCTCGTTATGAAGAGACGGTCCCCGCGTTCCTTCTCCTCCTCGGCCCCCTCCTCCTACCGTCCGCATGCGTCCCCCCCATCCAGTGGAGCGCTTCGTGGCCCCATAGAGAGCCCCACCGAAGGTCCCAGTGCTACCGTCCACATGCGTCCCCCCCTCTCAGTACAGCGTTTCGTGGCCACATAGGGAGCTCCACCGAAGGCCCCAGTGCCACCGTCCACATGCGTCCCCCCACCCAGTACAGCGCTTCGTGGCCCCATAGAGAGCTCCACCGAAGGTCCCAGTGCCACCGTCCACATGCGTCCCCCCACTCAGTACAGCGCTTCGTGGCCCCATAGGGAGCTCCACCGAAGGCCCCAGTGCCACCGTCCACATGCGTCCACATGCGTCCCTCCACCGAAGGTCCCAGTTGCCACGTCCAAATGCCGTCCCCCCCACTCAGTACAGCGCTTCGTGGCCCCATAGGGAGCTCCACCGAAGGGCACCATAGGTGAGCTCAACCCGAAAGGCCCCCCCAGTGCCACCGTCCACATGCGTCCCCCCCACTCAGTACAGCGTTTCGTGGCCCCATAGGGAGCCTCCACCGAATGCCCCAGTGTCACCGTCCACATGCGTCCCCCCACTCAGTACAGCGTTTCGTGGCACCACAGGGAGCTCCACCGAAGGCCCCAGTGCCACCGTCCACATGCGTCCCCCCACTCAGTACAGCGTTTCGTGGCCCCATAGGGAGCCCCACCGAAGGTCACAGTGCTACCGTCCACATGCGTCCCCCTTACTCAGTACAGCGTTTCGTGGCCATAGGGAGCTCCACCGAAGGCCCCAGTGCCACCGTCCACATGCGTCCCCCCCCCCCAAATCAGTACAGCGTTTCGTGGCCCGCAGGGAGCTCCACCGAAGGCCCCAGTGCCACCGTCCACCATGCGTTGCCCCCCACTCAGTGCAGTGTTTCGTGGCCCCATAGGGAGCCCCACCGAAGGTCACAGTGCTACCGTCCACATGCGTCCCCCCCCACTCAGTACAGCGTTTCGTGGCCACATAGGGAGCTCCACCGAAGCCCCCAGTAGGACCGTCCGAGTTTGTCTTGAAACACCCATTTTGGCATTTTCACCTACCCATTACAGCGTTTCGTGGCCCCACAGGGAGCTCCACCGAAGGCCCCAGTGCCACCGTCCGCATGCGCCCCGCACACCCAATGTGGCATTTTCACCCACCCAGTACAGCGTTTCGTGGCCCCACAGGGAGCTCCACCGAAGGCCCCAGTGGGACCGTCCGCCGCAAGCGTTCCGAAACACCCAATTTGGCATTTTCACCCACTCATTACAGCGTTTCGTGACCCCACAGGGATCTCCACCGAAGGCCCCAGTGGGACCGTCCGCATGCGTCCCGAAGCGCAATTTGGCATTTTCGCCCACCAAGTACAGCGCTTCGTGGCCCCATAGGGAGTTCCACCGAAGCCTCCAGTGGGACCGTCCGCATGCGTCCCGGAAGGTACAGTGTTTCGTTGCCCCATAGGGAGCTCCACCGAAGCGCCCAGTGGGACCGTCCGCATGCGTCCCGGGAACCTTACTTGACACACCACTCACCCAGAACAGCGTTCTCCCCCACCCAGTGCAGCGCTTCGTGGCCCAACAGGGAGTTTCACCGAACAAGATTTTCACAATTGCGGAACCCACAACTGCATATGGTTGGGTCCCTCGCCATGACAATTTTGTTTCTCTCTCTCTCTCGTTTCCTCCTTGCTTGCCACATGGAGGCAGGAGAGGGGAGCGGGGGAGAGGGAGGGGGAGGGTGTTGAACCGGCGTGCGCAACGAGGGCGCCCCAGGCCTCCGCTCGAGGCCGCTCTGGGAGTGCGGCCAGTGGCCTCTCGTGGAGGTCGCGCCCCCCGCTTGGGGGGGGGGGGGG